TGCTTACTTGTTTAATAATGAAAAATAGGGTATTTTAAAAACGGCTGTAACTCCTTAAATATTAACTTTATACATATGGTGCAGAAAACATACAGTTTCTGAAACGCAAACTGGATTTCTTTCGAATACGAAGTCTTCTGATTGTCGTAGAATTGTGCCATTAAATTGTGCTTGGATGTACACTAATTAAAAATTTTTCTGGGCTTATATTCGATGTGAATTAACACGAAATAGTAATGTGGAAAATGTTAATGCATGCATAGGTATCTACAATTACAAATATATAAATATATGTATGTACAAGTACGTTTAAGTTCAATCGTACCTAAATGTTTATATTTTGTTTCGCAGGTGAGTCATATTTTGTTTTGGTCATACAATAAAAAGAGAAAGTTAAAGGGAGAGATTTGTCATTTGCCGGTCATAAGAGATATGTAAAGTTAGAAAAAATTGTATTCGAAGAGAAAACAAATTGTGTTGAAAATATAATATATCCAATATATATAGTCGCATTGCTCTGATACAAATCCAAAGTCCAATGGTTGATTTTAGTGACGCGCATATGAATTTCCATTCCAGCAAAGAAGTATCGAAGATAATAATCAATATTTGATGAGGAAAATAACTTCATGACTTCGAAAACAATTTATTCATTTTTCTACTATGTTCTAAATTTTTATATTTCACGACATAGTTGGCTAATGTCAATGTAAACGAAGTCACTGTTTCGTTTCGTTTGATAAATAATAATAAGCCACAAAAACATTCAATATTTTGTATTTCAAGAGAATTGAGTGAATAGACTTATGCTCTCTCACAGCATGAAATACATCTATTGAAGCACTTTTTTTCGAAGATAACAGATGAGACAACTTTTTAGTCAATACCTTAATTCGTCTATGGTATTGGGTTAAACTCTTGCTCGCAAAAATAGGTTCTTTCGTTTACTTACCCAATAACATTTACTCAGTAAGAAGTTTTTATACCCTACAACACTATGTGTTGGGGGTATTATAAGTTTGATTGGGCCAGAATTTATGTAACACCTCGAAATATTGGTTTCCCATATAGGAAAGTATATATGGATCTTCCTAGCTCGCCGAGCTGAGTCGATCTAGCTATGTATGTCCGTCCGTCCGTCTGTCCGTCTGTCCGTCTGTCCATGTTAATTTGTAATCACTCTACAGGTCGCAATTATGGCCCCATCTTCACGAAATTTAGAATGGAGGTGGGGCTTAGGTCAGAATAGAACCCTATTTCTTTTGGAGATGATCGCATAATATTTAGGGTTTGAAATGGACCAAATATTGAAAAAATGTCGGATTTTGCAGTAGCTATACAGGTCGCAATTATTGACCAATCGACGCGGAATTTCGCATGTAGCTAGAGTTTATGGCGGAGAAGAAGCCTACCAATTTGGGTGGTCATCGGATAATATTTAGCGGGTAAAATAGACCATATCTTTTGTGTTGAAAAAATTCAAAATTTTTCATTAAACCGCGAATATTTTAAATCCCGGCGAAATCACAAAGCCATGACAAGGTTACTTCTGATCTTTACATTGATGTTAAGATCCAACAAATCGGATATATAGCGAAATATGTGCGATATATATGTCTATAAAAGAAGATATGCTTGAAAGATCTCTTATATGTCGAGAACGGCTGAACTGATTTCGACAGTTCTCATTAATTCAGACTGGCCTCTTGGCGGGAAAGAAAAAACGTCTAAAAAATCGCATAAAAATATCTCTACGAAGATGAAAATATTGATTTTTTAAAATTTCCTCATATTTTTTCAATTTTGTCATATTTTTGGCATATTTTCATTTTGAATTAAACATTTGGTAATATTTCTACAGCTAACAAAACTAAGTAGTTAGGATATCAGGATATCATATACAGATCGCATTTATGGCCCGATCCTTACGAAATTTTGCATGGGGATAGGATGAGGGTCAGAATAGAAACCTACTCTTTTTGGAGATGATCGCCATATATTTAGGGGTTGAAATGGACCAAAAAACTGCAAAATTGTAAGCAGGTTGTATTTATCAACCGATCCTCACGCACATTTGAATGGAGGTTACCGGACATTGCAAAAGCCAAGCAGTTTTGGATGGCCATCCAAAAATATTCAATGTGGGAAATAGTTTGCCAACTTTTGTAGACAAAATACGAAAATGTCCATTCCAGTGACTTTTTGGAGAATTCACAAATACAGGAAAGGCACACTTCTGACAATTTCGTTAACGCTGATTTCGTTGAAGAATATAGTCAAATGTCTGTATCTCATATGGATGCGTTTCAGTCAAAAACCAATAATAAATGTTAATCTTTAGCCACTTCTGAGATATTATAGGTCTTTGGGAAATATTGGTTCCAGATCTAGGAAGACCATTTAAGTGCATCTAACATCTACCAATAAATTGGAAATGAGCAAATTAGTTTAATTTGCTATTATTCGAAAATTAGAGAACGAAACCTGATGGTTTTCTTTTATTATTTGTCACAATATCTTGTGGAATTCTTTCAAATATCTCGCCTATATAAACTGTATCGTTTATTATAGTGTTGTAGGGTATTCAACGGTCGGCCCCGCTCGACTGTAGCATTTGCTTACTTGTTTTTTATTAAAAATACGATTTTCTCTTTCTCGAGAAAAAAAATTACAAAAATACATTTCGCAAAACATTTGTAATATAATAGCTGACCAATCAAAACTACTTTGGCGCAAATTTTTATAGCAGAAATTTTTGATGCAGTTTAATTGTTTCTACATTTTTATTACAAAAAAAAAAAAAAAATAATAATAATAATAAACAAATAAAAAAGCTGTAAGTTTTACAGGGCCGAAATTTAAATACCCTCCACCATTTGGAACGAATTTGGCAATTTTCAAAATCCATTAAAAATTCTGTTGAAATCTTAAAAATACCGAATGTAGCCGTTATTTTAGGGTCTATACGACGACGTGGACCTGCATAGGCAATTTTTGTCATAAGCCATTACAATATTCAAATTCGAAACCTGCATAGACAATTTTCTGGCACAGGCTGTAGTATCCACTACAAATTTGAAACAATTCCGATGAATAATGTCGCTAAAATCATCAAAATACCGAATAGCGGAAGGTATCGTATCGTAATACGAAATTTGAAATAATTCCGGTAAATATTGTTGCTAAAATCATAAAAATACCGAATATCGGGAGGTACCGTTATATGGGGGCTATACCAAAACGTGGTCCTACATGACCCATTTTCAATACCAAAAGTCCTGGAAACATAATATACATTTGAGAAAAATGTTATCAGCCTACTAAATCGACATAGAAATATATATTCTGGATCAGCGTAAAATTCTGAGACGATTTAGCGATGTCCGTCTGTTGTAATCACGCTATTTTTCGATCGAATTGAGATAGAAGGCTAAAATTGTGCATATATGCATAGTTTACCAGTAGGCAGGTTAAGTTCATAAATGGGCCATGTCGGCCCACGTTTTCGTATAGCCCCCATATAACGATAACTTAGCGACATAATTTACCGGAATTATTTCAAATTACGTATTTGAAATTCGTAATGGGTACTACAGCCTATGACAGAAAATTTTGTGTGCAGGTCCACGTCTTCGTATAGCCTCCATATAACGGTACCTCCCGATATTCGGTATTTTAATAATTTTAGCGACATTATTCACCGAAATTGTAACAAATTTCGTATTTAAAGTTCGCAATGGGTACTACAGCCTATGAAAAAAAGGTTGATGTATTCGTATAGTCCCCATATAACGGTTTTCAATTAAGTGGTAGTTTTCAGATTTTTTTTTAAATTTCAAGTTCCTTTCAAGTGGTGGAGGGTATTAAAAGTTCGGCCCGGCCGAACTTAGATGCTTTTTTACTTGTTATACCCTCCACCTTGAAAAGGTGTGGATATTAACTTTGTCATTCCGTTTGTAGCATCCCTAAATATTTGTCGTAGACCCACCCCGTAAAGTATTATATTCTAAGACGATTTAATTATTTCCGTTTGTTTGTCTGTCCGCCTGTCTGTTGAAATCACGATACAGCCTACATTTTTGACGTAGAGCTTAAAAATTGGGCACAACAATTTGTACTGTGTCTAGGATGGTTGGTATTGAAAATTGGATATATCGGTCAACGTTTTGGAATTGCCGCCATATAACGGTACCTCCCGATATTCAATATTTTGATGATTTTCGCCACATTTTTGAACGGATTCGTCTTAAAATTGGAATTTGTGGATCATAATGGGTTCCAGCTGTATGTGTAGGCTTACGTTTTGGTATAGCCCCCATATAATGGTACCTTTCGATATTCGGTATTTTGTTTATTTTTGCAACATTTTTCCACAGAATTGTCAAAAAATTGATATTTGTTGGTAATAATGGGTTCTAGCTCCTGTGGCGAAACATTATATGCATTGGTCCACGTTTTCGTATAGCCCCCACATTGTGGTACCTCTGAATTCTCAGTATTTTCTTGATTTTTGCCACATTTTTCCATGGATTTATCTAAAAATTGGTATTTGTAGTTCCTAATGGGTTCTAGCTCCGGCGGTAGAACATTGAATATTTAGGTCCACGTTTTCCTTAGCGATGCCCATCGATATTCGGTATTTTGATAATCCTAGTCACACATTTAACCACGAAATTGTTTCAAATTTGGTATTTAAGAAGATTAGGTAGACGACAATCCTTGAAGTATAAAATTGTCTATAGAGGTTCCCGTTTTTATGGCCCCGTATAACTTCCTCACCCACTTTGTTTGTTTTTAAAAGGTATAACAGCATTATCCAGACGGTCGATTTGTAGTTTAAAGTGGGAAACAGTTGAATTCATATAGTTTTATAGAAAAATGTTTCCTTAACACAACGGTGGAGGGTATTAAAAGTTTGGCCCGGACGAACTTAATGATTTTTTACTTGTTTTTTTCTTTCCTTCTAAAATCCGCAAGTAAGAAATAAATAAGGCTTGGTATTACTGTTACTAATTATGGTCTTATATAAAAATAATTTATTTAATAAGAATTAAATATTAATTAATGTTAGTATACAAATTAAATAGTTCACTGGTTTTCAGGTTTTGTAGATCCAGCTTTTTTTGGAAGGCTATTTAAAAATTGCCTTAACCTAGCAACGACGCCAGTTTTAATATCTGAAATTGGCTCTATTAACCTATTTGATTTCTAAATTGTAAATGGAATCCTCCAAACAAAATAATTTGGGAGGTGCCAAAAATCGAAAGAATCCAAGAGATTTCTTAAGGGAATTTCCGGCAAAAGAGGTCAATATAAACCAGCTTCATTGAAATGGAAAGACATTTCTCTCCTCTTTCCTTATAAAATGTAATGTGTTTCCAATCCTCCGGGATCAAAATTTCGGACTGATTGCATCCGCTGGACTGGTATGACATTACTGTTGATCCACTCCTTGCTGTACCTCTAGTTATCTCCATCCGATTTGCGTTTACGACACTGGTCCGTGGTATGGCCACGGAAATTGCAATATGTGCAACGTTTTATGCCTCTAGAGCCACGTACTGGTCCCGTTTGTTCAGCCTCACCTTCCATTAAGTTATGCTCAATGATGCGTCCCTTTTCCAAAAGATCGCGGAATGTTGTGATGTCAGGGCGGGCAATATTCTGGCGGTATTTAATGTTCAAGAGACCATATACCAAATCGATTTCAGTCTCCTCATCATGTCTACCATCAGGCAGTTGAGCCAACAGGGCTCGCTTCTGGCACACAAAAGTATCAATGGCAACGGAGTCTTCTTGTTTCTTTTCGAAAATTTCCACGTAGATTTGATAGGCCGGTTTGGTGGGAGAGAAATGGTCACGGACCAAAGCCAAAACATCATCCCACGATGTGGCCTCCTTGCGAACACCCTGCCACCAGGTCGATGCCAGGCCATAGAAGAGCAAAGAGACACCCTTTAAGGCATCCTCGTCACTGATACCTTCGATTTCTTTGTAGGTTACAATTGAGGTTAAGAATTCTTCAACGGCTTCATGATCACGCTGGCCACCGAAACGGGAGGGGCAGTTACTGAAACTTCCCTTGGATTTGTTTTGGACAGTTTCAGCAGCCTGGGCAGCGCTGTTTGCAGCTGACAAGCGTACAGCTTCGATGAGTTGTTGCAATTGTTCTGTGGTCATCTGCACCATTTCAGCCATTTTGTAGGTGTTGTTATTTAATTTTTTTTCAAATTGATATTGAGGTTTTTCGATATTTTCTGACAAAGCCAATTTCTAATCTATGAGATTTGGCGAATGTTCTTAATAATATTGATAACGTTTGAATTCTAAACAAACATTGATTAGTTGGTGCTGGTCGTTGCGTTAATCGAGGTTAGCAGTAGACTGGTTTGCCACAGCGGTGCCGTGGACTTTTATAGTTGACAGAAACTACACGCAACCACCACTTATCGAACATCAGTTATTTGTGCTACAGGTGAGTGAGTAAAAGTAAAATATTTCACCATTTGTGTAATTCAAAATGTAGAGTGGATTAGATTATATTCCCAGAACAAATATTTGAGGACAATTTTTTGGGAAATAAAAAAATGTTGATAGCAGCATACATACCTCAAATTGATTTTAAATAATAATCTATGAGAGGTCTTCGAGTATTATCTATGGTATGTATTTCTGAACTATTATATGTTCATAAATGTGACTCTTTTGGAGATTTTAGGAATCTGCATAAATTGGCTGTTTTGCAATTGGAAGTTTTGGTATAGTCCCCATATAATTATGATTGGAGTCACACTTTTCACCGGAATTGTTTCAAATTTGGTATTTGGATTTCCCGATGGGTACTCTCTCCTATGATAGAAAATGACCTGTCCAGATCCACGTCTTCGTATAGACCCCATATATAGTGGTACCACCAAATATTCGGTACTTTAACAATCTTAGCAACATTTTTTACTGGAATTGTTTCAAATTTAATACTTGGAGATCTCAATGGGTTCTCCTTTCTATGTCAAACCAGTAAGGAAAGGTTAAACCTACACCACTATGCGTATTTAGTAAAGCTCCTGTGACAAAAGAATTGTTATTGGGAATCTAAGTGAAGTAGATCATACCATCTATCAACCTAAGGCTTTAGAGCAGTAATAATTTGGTTTCACAGGGAGCTAGTATATGGGAGGCATATCCAATTCTGAATCGGTTTTCACCAAATTTGACGAAGACATTTTAATCTTATATAACAATTAACATTGCTATAGAATGCATGATATCACTTCGAGAAAGATATTAGCTATTATTTGCGTAATAAACCTAAAATCGGAATAAGTATGTATATCCTAATTTGATACGACCTTGATAAAATTTGACAGAGGTATTCCTGAGCTTCATAGGTTATCTGGTACCAAATATCATACTTGTGCACAATTAACCCGAAATCGGTCGAAGATATGCATGGGGGCTATATCCAAATCTGAACCGATCTTAATAAAATTTCGCAGAGGTATTTCTGCTCTGTATCTAAAGCTATAGTTGAAACGAATTTCATTTGAACAATTTGAAGTACTTATTTCTAGGATGAATTTAGTCCGGTGTGCCCACATTTAGGTCATTTGGGTTGATATTAGCCATTTAGTGCACAATAAACCTGATATCGGATATAGATATATATATGAGGCGATATCCTAATCTGATCCAATCTCGATAAAACAGAGGAATTTCTGAGCTCCAGGTTATCTGGTATCAAATTTCATTTCTGTGGAGTGCATATTACGCATGTGAGAAACTTAAAATGCCAAATCGAATGAATAATATATATGGGAGCTATGGCTATACCGGAACCGATTTTCACCATATTTGATGTATTTGCTTCTAGACTGAATTCGGTCGGATGTGCCAAAACTCAGGTCATTGGTGAACAATTAGCTCGAAATCGTTTGAAGATTTATGTGGGCGTTATATGTAAATTTAAACCGATTCTTACCGATTTCAATAGGGTTCGTCCTTGGGCCAAACTAATGGTTTGTGAAAAATATCATCTCGATCGGACAATAAAAGCGACCTGTACATTGTTTACAGACGAACATGCATAAATCGACTCAGAATGTTATTCTATGCAGATCATCAAAAGGAACTTGAGGTCTAACTCGCTTCCTTCTCTATGTTACAAACAAATGCACAAAGACAAAATACCCTGACCACAGTGTAGTGCAGGGTCTAAAAATCGACAAATATATCTTCGATAGACCCACAAAAATTTCTGTTTAAAAATCCACGATTACAGCCCTGGCAGTCCTTCATAAAATCTAGTTAAAAAATCCCAAATTTTAAAGAAATATATGTCACAAATTTCAATATTTTACTAACTTGGGATGTATCCATTTTTTAGGGGCCACATCTACAATTGGTAAAAGTTTTGGGAATCGTATAGGCCTCATAAAAATGTAATGTTGGTATTTTATGTCACATTTTTCAAATTTGGCATTTGAAGTTCCAAATGGGTACCACTTTCTATGAAGATCCACATCCATACCTTGCGATATTCGGTATTTTTCCGATTCCGGAATTATATCAAAATTGTTATTAGGAGTATACAATGGACCTTCTCTTTCAGATAATTGACAATAAACGTGCACGCTTTCATTAAGCTCCCCATATAACTGTACCACCCCAGTTCGGTATTTTGATAATTTTAGAGGCATTTTTTTTCAAAGAAATTTGTTCATAATTTGCAAGTTCCATCCAAATGGTAGAGGGAGTTAAAAGTTCGTACCGGCCGGCTTTTTTCAAATTTGGTATATTAAGTTCCATATGGATACCACATCCTATGACAGAAAATTACCTAGGAAGGTCCACATACTTGCTATATTCTGTACTTTTCCGATTTTCACCATATTTTCCAACGGAATTATTTCAAAATTGTTGTCAGGAGTTCGCCTCCATAAAACAGTTGACCTGTTTCAGAACTGCAAGAATGTACAAATATTTATTTTATTTCCCTTTATGGTATCGAGAAAAATTGCAAAAATAATAGATTCTTGCAGGATCTGGAACAGAGCTGGTACCACCCCATATTCAGTATTTTAAACATTTTAGAGGCATTTTTTCAAATTAATGTTTTCATATTTTACAATTTCGGACAGGCCGGCTTTTTACTTGTTTTACATATGCTCTGTTCCAGAACCTGCAAGAATCTATTAGTTTTATAATTTTTTTCTGATAACATAAAGGAAAATCGATTATCGGTGTTCTAGAACAAGGCAATAATATTAACATAATTCAGGATATTTTGTAAGCAAATTCCTAATATACGCTCATCGATTGTGGTTGATTTCCGCAACTATTTTTATTGTAATTTTTACGTGATTCAATATTTCGGATAAATAAAGACTGTTTTTTGAAAAACCTTGTGGTTTTAAATTAACGTTAGAGTTCTTAAAGAACCAGCACATTTTCCACATTTCAATGACGTGTAACTGAATTTTGGGAAATTCAAACACTCAAAGAAACCTAAGTTCGAAAGTTTCACACTCTTCATCTTGAGGAAAACCACAATCAAATGGGGAAATGTAAATAAGACCTTATAATAGAAATCGAAAAAATTGCGGTTCAAATGAATTGCGTTGGAAAAAAATTTGAATACCCTCCACCTTTGGGTAAGGAAAATATTTTTAAATAAAAGTATCTAAATTCAAAAGTGTTCCACTTTACGCTACCTCTATAGACAATTTTATACTTCAAGGATTGTTATCTACCAAATCTTCGTAAATACCAAATTTGAAACAATTTCATGGGTAAATGTGACTAGGATTATTAAAATACCGAATATCGATGGGTATTGTGCACTATATGTACGCAAAGGAAAACGTGGACTTATATAACATTGTTCCGTCACAGCATTATGAACTAAAAACAAGTAAAAAAGCTGTAAGTTCGGCCGGGCCGATCTACGAATACCCTCCACCATATGGAACGACTTTGGCAATTTTCAAAAAAAAAAAAATAAATAAATAAATAAATAAATAAATTCGTTAAAAATTCTGTTACAATCTTAAAAAAACCGAATGTAGCCGTTATATTAGGGTCTATACGACGACGTGGTCCTGCATAGGTAAGCCATATTCAAATGCGAAAAAATCGGTGAATAGTATAGCTAAAATCATCAAAATACCGAATATCGGGAGGCATCGTTATATGGGGGCTTAAAGAAGACGTGGACCTGCGCAGACAAATTTCTGTCTTAGGCTTTAGTATCCATTACGAACTTCAAATACCAAATCTGAAACATTTCCGGTGAATAATGTCGCTTAAATCACAAAAATACCGTATAAAGGAGGTACCATTATATGGGGGCTATATGAAGACGTGGACATGCACAGACAATTACGAACTTCACAAATTACGTTGCGAACTTTAAATACCAAATCTGAAACAATTCCGATGAGTAATGTCGCTATCGTTATATCGTTATATGGGGGCTATACGAAGACGTGGACCTGAACAGATAATTTTCTGTCATAGGAAATTCAAATGCAAAATTTGAAACATTTCCTGTGAATAATGTCGCTTAAATCAACAAAATACCATTATATGGGGGCTATACCAAAACGTTGACCTATATATACTATGTTCCTCCACCGAAGCTAGAACCCATTACGAATTACAAATACCAATTTTTTAGACAAATCTGTGAAAAAATGTGGTAAAAATAAAAAAAAATACCGAATATCGGCAGCTACCATTATATGAGGTTTTTATTTGAGAAGGAAAGTACCACCTTTACGCTCGGATGTAATTTCGATTCTGATTTTATTTCACATTTTTTATTTCTTAAAAGCTACTTGCACTTATCTAACTTAGCCTACTTCAGTGCGAATAATGCATTTTATCAATGCACCCAGAGGGTTGTTTTGTCCCTACGCTGGAGAGAGCATTTCTTTATGCTACCTGCTATCTGTGTGTGTGGATATTTTCAAATTCTTTATTGTCAGCACACACACAAAGATTTTATTGGCTTTCGGATTTCCCATACTTTACAATACATTAACTCTTTTCAAAAAATTACATCTTATAGTTGAACTCAAACATTTGTCATAAACACACAAGAGTCTATATTATCCTGAATCAATACAGGAAGATTACACTAATTCTGTTCATATGAGCATGGAGACTATACAAAACCTGTACTCATACATACAATGTCTCGCCGCGGAAGCTAGAACCCATTATGACATACAAATACTAATTTTTTGAAGAATCCGTGAAAAATGTGGAGAAAATCATTAAAATACCGAATATCGGGAGGTACCGTTATAGGACAACTATACCAAAACGTGGACTGATATATCTCATTTTCAATACCAACCTGGACACATTAGAAATTGTTCTGCCAAATTTTGAAGC